CTCGTCGGCGGCGGTGGAGCGGGGGAGGGTGCACCACACATACATGCGCCATTAGTAGTTTTGCAAAAAAGTATTAAAAATAATTTTCATACTAATGGCGCATCGTGGCACAATGCGCCATTACTAGTTTAAACTAGTAATGGCGCACTATGCGACGGTGCGCCATTAGTAGTTTTGCAAAAAAGTAAAAAAAAGAATACAGTAGTGGCGCACTCAACGGTTGGTGCGCCATTAGTAGTTCTAACTACTAATGGCGCACTTTGCCCGGATGCGCCATTAGTATGTTTGAAAAAATGAAAAAAAACATTTTGTTACTAGTGGCGCACCTTGTGCCTGGTGCGCCATTAGTGTTTTACACACTAATGGCGTATCTTCACGTGGTGCGCCATTAGTAAATAGTAGTGGCGCACCAATTCTCTAGTGCGCCATTAGTGTCAATTTCATCTTTAGCCCTTTTCCTATTAGTGTTGGTGAGGTTACGAGGTTGGATTGGATGACGCAAGACCTGGGTCCATGTTTTGTGACTTCACAGCGACTTCGCGTAAATCTAAATCACTTTCCTCAAAAAAGAAACAAAAAACGCCCAAGAAGGCAAAGATTTCCACACCTATTCGAGTTTCCACATGAGAGGCATGTTTTGGAATAGCAGAGGTCTTTCAGACTTGGCTAAGCATAAAGACGTCGGTGATTGTGTCGTGAACATGGTTTGGACTTTGTGGCAATTTCTGAGGCTGGTAAAGGTGACTTTCGCCCGCATGTCCTCGATCACCTATCCGGTGGTTTCGACTATTCGTGGCATAGTTTACCAGCTCGTGGAAGGTCGGGAGGAATCCTTCTTGGGATTCAGACCGCAACCATGGATTTATTGGCTTTTTCATTAGGTGAATTTCATATCAAATTTCACCTACGAAACAGAGCTGATAATTTTACATGGAGCCTGGTCGCAGTCTATGGAGCTGCCCAAGATGAGCATAAATCCGCTTTCCTTCGGGAATTGGTGAACCTGGCTAAGGATAACCCGTACCCAATGCTTATTGGAGGAGACTTCAATATCCTTAGGTACCAGGAAGAGAAAAATAATGATCGCTTCGATACTCACTGGCCGTTCCTATTCAATGCTGTGATTGACAGTTTGGATCTTCGGGAGGTTAGTATGTCAGGACGACAATTCACTTGGGCTAATAATCGTTCTGTGCCGACATACGAGAAGCTCGATAGGGTACTCATGGATACCGAATGGGAGTTAAAATTTCCTCTGGTAACCGTTCGAGCCCTAGAGCGTATCGAGGCACTATCGGACCATGCGCCCATCATTCTTGACTCTAACTCTACGAACACATCGGCCCGCCGCCCTTTCAAGTTTGAATTGGGATGGTTGCATCGGGAAGGTTTTGTAGACATGGTCAAGAACATTTGGGAGAAGCCCACTGTTGGTCATACACTCATTCAGAGATGGAACTTTAAAATAAGGGCCATGAGGCGACACCTCTCTGGATGGGCTAAAGACACCAATGGGATGTATAAAAAAGAAAAACGGCGCCTCTCTACCATTATTGATGACCTCAATAAAATTGCAGAGACACGCATCTTATCTCAACAGGAGATTGATATGAAAAATCAATCCAATGAGAAGGTTGCACGTCTTTTGCGGGAAGAGGAAATCAAATATTACCAAAGATCCAAAGCTGATTTCATCTTGATGGGAGATAGTAATACAAGATACTTCCAATTGGTCGCCAATGGTCGACATAGGAAGAAACGTATTTATAGTCTCCAACAAGATGAAGGGTGGATTGAAGGTCAAGAGGAGCTCAAAAGGTATATCACTAGCTACTACAAATCTCTGTTCGGGCTGCCAGATGAAGGGAATTTCACCCTTGACGAGAACCGAACAGATGATATTCCTCAAGTCACGGCAGAAGAGAATGACTTCCTCACGGCACTTTTCTCATAAGAGGAGGTGAGAGCCGCGGCGTTCCAAATGGAACATAACAAAGCTCCAGGACCTGATGGCTTCCCTGCAGAATTCTATCAGAATTTCTGGGATATCATCAAGTCTGACCTTTTGGAGTTGTTCAATTGTCTTCATGCCGATCAACTTGACCTATTCAGGCTGAATTTTGGCGAGATTGTTTTGTTGCCGAAGATTAAGGAGGCTGAACGGATCCAACAATATAGACCCATATGCCTACTTAATGTCAGCTTCAAAATTTTCACCAAAGTAGCTACGAATAGGTTTAACTCGATAGTTGACCATGTTGTCCGGCCATCTCAAACGGCGTTCATGCAAGGAAGGAATATACTCGATGGCGTAGTAATCCTGCATGACACCGTTCACGAGATGCACCGAAAAAACATGAGTGGAGTAGTATTCAAAATTGACTTTGAAAAAGTCTATGATAAGGTTAAATGGTCTTTCCTCCAACAGGCCTTAAGGATGAAAGGTTTCTCCGATAAATGGCGTCAATGGATCCACAATTTTGTAACTGGAGGTAGCGTGGCCATCAAAGTCAATGATGATGTAGGCCATTACTTTCAGACAAAAAAAGGACTACGACAGGGTGACTCCATGTCCCCAATGTTATTTAACATTGTTGCTGACATGTTGGCCATTCTGGTTGAGCGCGCCAAGCAGGACGGACAGATTGCAGGAGTAGTGCCACACCTTGTGGATGGTGGCCTCTCTATTCTGCAATATGCCGATGACACAGTTCTTTTTATGGAACATGACCTGGACAAGGCTCGAAACCTGAAACTCTTGCTTTCAGCATTTGAGCAAATGTCGGGTCTTAAAATTAACTTCCATAAAAGCGAACTTTTCTGCTTTGGAGAAGCCGTTGAGGCAGCGGCCGATTATGCTGACATGTTTGGTTGCGCACATGGCCATTTTCCAATTAAATATCTGGGAATACCGATTCATTATCGACGTCTCACCATTGTGGAGTGGAAGCATGTAGAGGAGCGGTTAGAGAAACGGTTGAGCAGCTGGAAAGGCAAGCTGCTCTCTGTTGGAGGACGGCTGGTTTTGATTAACTCTGTCCTCACAAATATGGTCCTCTATATGCTTTCTTTCTTCCAACTCCCAAAAGGGGTCCTGCAAAGACTGGACTATTTCAGATTCAGATTCTTTGGGCAAGGAGATGGGGAAAAGAAAAAATACAGACTAGCCAAATGGAGTGTGGTTTGTAGGCCGAAAGACCAAGGTGGCCTTGGAATTCATGACCTGCAGGTCAAGAATGAGGCTCTCCTTAGTAAATGGTTGTTCAAACTTCTTACTGAGGATGGTGTTTGGCAAACCATACTGCGCAACAAGTATCTAGGCCACAAGGTGGTGTCTCAGGCATATTGGAAACCTGGCGACTCGCACTTTTGGGCTGGCCTAATGGCGACAAAGAAAGATCTCTTTCGCTTTGGGTCTTTTGCGATAAAGGATGGGTTGGAGATTCGTTTTTGGGAAGATATCTGGCTAGGCGGTGCCACTCTCCGAGAACAATATCCAGCCTTGTACAACATTGCTCGCGATAAGAATAATACTATTGCGCAGGTGCTCAGTTCATCCCCCTGAATATTTCGTTCAGGCGGGATTTGACTGGCCCCCGACTTATGTCATGGCATAATCTTTTGTCCCGTCTGGATGCGATTAGCCTGACAGAAGGGCGGGATGTGTTTCGCTGGAACCTTACTACATCAGGGTCTTTCACCGTAGACTCTATGTATTGTGCGCTCACGCATTCTGAGGTACCGGTGAGTAATAATAAGAAAATTTGGCGGTCGGAGATACCACTAAAAGTTAAAGTCTTCATGTGGTATCTTCGTAGGGGAGTTGTTCTAACCAAAGACAACCTCGCACGACGCAATTGGCAAGGGAGTAAGAAGTGTTGTTTTTGTACTCATGATGAGACCATCACACACCTCTTTTTCTAATGCAACTTTGCATGTTCTACGTGGTCAGTCATCCAAATAGCGTCAAGTTTATATCCGCCCACAAGTGTTGCCAATATTTTTGGTCATTGATTGGACGGTATTTCAAATAGGTTCAAAACGCTATTAAGGGTGGGAGCGTATGCCTTACTATGGTCGCTTTGGCTATGTAGAAATGATTTTGTTTTTAATGACAAAAATGCTTCTCCTTTGCAGGCTATTTTCCGTTGTACGCACTCGCTTCGTATGTGGTCTATGCTACAACGAGCGGAGGTCCAACGATTGTTCAAGGCGGTGTGTACGCGGTTGGAGCAGGTGGCTACGGAGGTTTTTACCCAACATGGATGGTAGCATAACCTCCGGATCGGTCCATCTCACCTTTCGACATAGGCACAGTGTCAGTCTATAGGACTCTACTATTGCCGATTTGTCAATTTTTGTTTTCTTCTGGTTGTCGGACTTTTGGTGTTCGGCTGTGTGCATCCTAATTATGCAGAGGCCGGGTGTTGCTCATAATGCTCTGTATCCACTGGATGCTACATTTTTGAGTTAATAAAATCGCCCTTTATCGAAAAAAATTGTCCTCCTTCTTCACCACCTGGTACGTGGTACCATCAGGAAAAATCCGTATGTGTACTTCTCCATCATGCCCACCAGCCATCACCGCAGCTGACTCTAGCTGAGAAAGCAAGAAGAAATGTCTGAGCTGGGATCTAAAATGGAGCATCTCAAGAATTAAATGGAAGAATGCAATTTGGGTGGATGAGTGTACGCACTCCAGATCCATTCTTTCTCCTTCATCGCCGCTATCATCACCATCACCATCATCATCATCATCATACTCATCATCATCCTCATCATACTCATCATCATCCTCATCATCGGTATCTTAATTTGGAGATTGAGAAGCGAAAATGAGCAACAAGAGAATGATTAGTGCCAACATATTATCAGGAAGCATGTGCTTGAATTTATTAGGTGCAAGCATGCAGAAAGGAGTAAAATAACTACACTATATTCATTCATTGGTGAGTATAACGTGTTATTGTAGTTTGTACCTTCTGCTATCTCTGGCTCCATATAAAGATCAATGCTTGGATGGTTAGGATGGGTGTTCACTGCATTTCTCACTGCGGCACATGCTTCTTCAGCTTCCATAATGGTGACCCCATCCCAATGGATTTCAACTAATCCACCCTGAAGTGAGAGAAGGTTACCCAAGCCAAGCTCAAACAGATCGCTGTCACCATCTTCTTTGGCCACCCGCACACCCAGATTAAATCGGACATATTCTGCATTTGGCAATGCTCCTTGTTGAAAGACTACCTGATTGGCTGGCTCACAATGCATTCCAAAGGCTATCACACAACGGAACTCATCTGCACCGATGACGAGCAGCCTTTTTGTTTGGTGGGTGCTGCTTATCCAGATATGGCGAAGAGTTGGCAACCTCCCAAGGATTTGCACATCCTCTTGCTGCACATCCTTGACTCTGATATGAAACGATGATAGGTTTGATAGATGTGAGGGGCCACATTTTGTTATCCACATCGGCAATCCAGAGCATGCGATATGGTCTGATGTGAAAGTATATTTGCAAAGGCATCGAGGGGGTTCCCAGCGCCCCCCCAAGAGATCCAAGTATGGTACATCGTCGCAGGCAATACGTAGACTTCTGATATCATGCAGGTTGTATATAGTCTCCACAAAAGTTTCCTCTACCTCGATGCTCCAATCAAAGAAGTAAATGTCGAGCTTCCTCAGCCTTGCCAGGCAGCCAAGCTCTTGCACGGTGCTCGGAGAGGCATAGATCCCCTCGACTACTTCCAAAGAAGCCAGGTTACCCAATACACCAGGGTGCCAATAGCAGCGAGAAGAAACCCTGATGACCATTAACTTTTGTAGCTTCCACATAGATGATGGCAAATGTCTCATATCATTAGTGCGTCCTAAATCTAAAACTTGCAAAAACTGTAGATTTCCTATTTCCTCTGGCAGTTCAGAGATACCGGTTTCTTTTAGACCTAGGTACCTCAGGTGAAATAAATACCTAATATCCCTCAAGTTAGGCTGAAAGTTAATTGCCCCAATACGGCATCGACACAAGTCCAATACACGTAAAACACCAAAGCTAGATATAGCAGGCATGATAGTCACAGCTGGTGGAAAGACATTGATGGACCTCACTTGTGATATACACATTGAATTGATGAGAGGTGCAGCTTGTTGATCTTCCTCGGTATTCTGGAGAGATAGTCTACGGATATTTCTGTGAGAACTAGTCACATCCTTGTTACTTTCCAATATTGTCAAAAACTTTGCTTCAGCTGACAAGGAACGAATCATATCAAGCACCATGTCATGCACACGGCAACTTTTTACTTCACGAAAACCGTTGAATATTGGTATAATCATGTATCTGTTTATGAGCTCATTAAAAAAAGTTTCCCCAACTTCAAACATGCTAGTCTGATGTTTTCCATGCTGCACAAAATTTTCGCATATCCACTTCCATATCAGATCTTTTTTGTCAATCTCATGATCTTCTGGATACATACATAAATATAATAGGCAAGTCTTCAGATCAAAAGGCAGATCATAGTAGCTAAGTGACAGTATCCTCTGCATTTCCTCCATACTTGCCTCTTCTGTAAGTCCACGCCCAATTGAATCTAGCAGAACTTGCCATTCAACTTTTGGCTTGATCTGATGACCAACAGTGAGAAGACTAGCTATAGTAAGGATAGCTAATGGTACACCGCCACATTTCTTCAAAATATCTCTAGACACTTCCTTAAGTTCACTAGGACATTTATTCTCACTTGAAAATATTCTTTTACAAAAGAGCCTTGTAGAGTCACTATCTGAGAGAGGTTCCATTTGATAAATGGAATCATGAGTGGAAGGACAACATGCTATGGACACACTAAATATGCGAGTTGTCGTGATTAGGCGACTGCCAAATTGTTCATATTAGAGAAAGCCAACTTGATATCTCCCCATAGTTTTCCATCCCATATATCATCAATTACGATGAGATACCTGTACAAGTTGGGAGAGAAAATTAATGAAATGTTGATGCACACATCACAGGGGCTCATAAAGCGCCATATGACATACACACAAACTATGTATAGTTTAGTACATATAAGGATGAAAACAAGGGGACACCAGATTCCAAACTCATCAATAATATATTCGACGATATATAGCATTATTATGAACAGAGAATGAAATGCTGTCCAAGCAAAAAACATCATTCAAGGAAGCATAAATTAGTAACAGATGGGTGGCACGTAGCAACACACATGTAGTCACTGTTATGAAACTGTTACTTATATAAGTAATGCACTATATCTATCCGAAAGGTCAAACCAAATAACCAAATGGGTATCAAATTCACGATGTGATGTCTGCCAATAAACTATTCCTAGTTAACCGAAAAAGTGCAATTCTATAAATAAGATTAAATTACTCAAAACCACTAGGAAAACCTCCATTTCTTTTATTTTTTAAACAAACGCCCGAGAGCCAATAGGAAAGTTAATAATGAACATCCTCCTCCAACAGAACAAATCTACAAATTGTACCTCAATTGTACAATATTATGCCTATCTTTATAGGAAACGTGTAAAATGTCTAATTGAAAAGATGCATACTAGCGGCGGATAGTATTCCAAGCCTTCTACTCCCTCCGTTCCTAAGTACTTGTCTTTCTAGGCATTTCAACAAGTGACTACATACGGAGCAAAATGAGTGAATCTACACTCTAAAATATGTCTACATACATCCGTATGTAGTAGTCATTTGAAATTTCTAGAAAGACAAATATTTAGGAACGGAGGGAGTACTAGTTAATCGGTCATTTGAGTGTAACTGCTTCGATAGGATGCCAAAAAAAAAAAGCTCATCACCAGGAACGTTTGACTGTAACTGGCTGAGGGGTGCATACCTCTTGTCGTGAAGGAAGTCCCGGATTTCTTCGATAAGTTGTTTTTCATCTAGTACCATGAGATTGATATTAGTATACGTATTTTTGTCTAGACCAATAAGGATGTCCCTGAAAATCTTCTTCATGTCAGGATTCTGACCAATTGGAACAAAAGCCCGTGAATCAAAACCACCTTTGATCTTGTCATATACTGCTCTGACCAGAGTGGTCTTGCCCAATCCGCCGAATCCAACGACAGAGACTATTTTTGGTCTCTTGTTGGAGGGATCTTCATCTCCCAAAGCTAATAACTTGAGAAGCTCTTGATCCCTCTTCCCATAGATGCCAACAAGCTCTGTAACTTCAGTGTATAGAGCGCGGAGACGAGGATCGATAGTGGTCACAGCCGTAGGCTTAGGCAAAATATTATCAACTGTGTACCTGCGAGTGGAGGATATACCCACAAATTAAAAAATATTACAAATGTTATTTGATCTAAATAGTAGTACATGCCCCGATGTGGCGATGTCTACTCCCCTCTCCCTCCACGAACCATAAGTCACTGACCAATCGGCAACCAAAGCATAGCTAGGTCCGTCAATCGGAATCGGGTACGCACCTGCCGCGCCTGTTGGCCACCTCTTGGACATCCTTGTTGATTTCCTTGATGGCGCTAGCGATCTGGCGGCGCGCCTTGCCCTTGTTAAACAAGTTGGCCATCTTCTCCACAAGGTCTGTGAGCTTGTTGCCATCAGCAGCAGGTTTACTAGGGCCCTCGACACGCACGATGAACTTGTCAACGATGTCTTCTATGTCGTAGGAAAGATCCCTGACCTCGTCAGCCCAGAGCTTGACTTGCTCGTCGAGCTGATGGCGCGGCACCTCCGCCACTTTGCAGAGCGCAGCGTGCATGCTCTTCATCTCTCGCACGAGAGACTCGACGCCTTTCTTGGCGTTCTTCTGCAGGTTGTACTCCTCCATGAGCAGCTGCCCCAGCTTGGGGAGCAGGCTGCCCATGGCGCCCGTCACCACCTGCATCGCTAGATAGCTAGCTACACTGGTCTCTGGATGCAAGAACAGCTTACCGTCGACGATGAGCTGTGGTTGAGGGTGGGTCTCTCTCTCTCTCTCTCTCTCTCTCTCTCTCTCTCTCTCTCTCTCTCTCTCTCTCTCTCTCTCTCTCTTACATGTTGATTTGCTTGTGCATAAAAACTAATCAAGCAGAGGTGCATTATTGATCCCACCACTTTTGGCCACTTGTTCTTGACGCGTCAGGTGCACTTTGGGGCGGCAAAAAGCTGCCGCTCCTAGTTAACTTAATCCGGTCGATAATCTTCAAAAGACGACCTCAAGTCCTCAAGTGGCACTTGACGCGTCAGGTGTAGTATATATTATGATCCGGGAAAGTACAAAGTATGCAGTAGGTGCATGCATGTGAACAAAGGCATCAAGACTTCAAAGCGTGTGCTTAAGAAAAAGGTTTCACGAATATACATGAGGTACCCGTATACATAACTACTCGTTCTGTCCCATAGTGTTTTTGACGCTAGTGCAGGCACAAGTGTCAAAAACGCTCTTATATTATGGGATGGAGTATTAATTACCGACTTCCCGTGACACATCTGAACCCAGCTAGCCACCATGGATCTGATTGACCGTCATTGTGGCTGCTGGTTTGGCGACGTACGAGTGGAACTGCAATAAAATTGTTCTCCCAAGATCAGATCTGACCTTTAAAGAAACAAGCTAAGTTTTGCTAACCGTAAAAATTTAGCACTAGGCAGAGAGAGAGAGAGCAGCAGTTAGCATCCTAAACTGCTAAACCTTTTCAAGGAGGCTCACTACCTATGAGGGTTCACAATGATCCACTGCATCCGGAAGGGGAGCCTTGGCGCAGTGGTAAAGCTGCTGCCTTGTGACCATGAGGTCATGGGTTCAAGTCCTGAAAACAGCCTCTTACAGAAATGTAATGAAAGATTGCGTACTATAGACTTAAAGTGGTCGGACCCTTCCTTGGACCCTGCGCAAGCGGGAGCTACATGCACCAGGATCAAGGGGATAGCTCTAATGCAAAAAAAGGGAGGTATGTAACTTCAACATTGGCGCATATAATATGTGTAGTTTCAACCAAAACTTGTACTGATAGTAATGTGTTTGGCAAATCTTTGGATACATAATTCGACAAACTGATTGATAATGTACACCGGTGATGTGGTTACCAAAATGAAGAAATTTAATGATGAGACCACTTGCAAAAGGCAGTCGGCATTGGCAAACACATCATATATACGACATTGAATTGAAATTAGCAAGATAATTCTTTTCAGTGGCCAAATAAAATCGGTAAAGTAAGAGTTTTACCTTCTACTAGTGCTTTACTTAGGTCAAGAGGTTCGATGATCGTGCATGGCCTTCAACAATTGACGATGTGGGCGACTCCCGATTCCTCGCGCGTGAGCACATGGACCGTTTCTCGCAAGGAGCAAGCAGCACATGTCCTGATGGTGAACGTGGTATGTGGAATATTGTATGGCGTGCCTTGGTTTCTTCTAAGATGAAAGTTTTTGCATGGAAGGTAATTACTGGTACACTAGCAACTAACTTAGAGAGGAATCTGCGTCATATTGGTAAAGGGCAACATGCGGAATGTGTGGGCGAGAAGATGAATCGTCATTTCATGCTTTACTAGTCTGTCCCAACGCGGCAAGCTTATGGGACGCAATGAAGGACCGTTGGCCATTGCCAAACAGGTATGATATTGCATGTACGGGTGATGAATGGTTTCTTCACTTGCTTGCTGGTCAGCAGAGCAATGTCCGGGACATGATCATTATGGTGCTATGGAGGGTTTGGCATTTACGTAATGAAGTCATGCATGCCAAACCTATTCCACCGACGGAGGTGTCTTGTGATTATCTATGCAGCTATCTTAACTCTTTGCTACAATTAGGTTGTATGGGTGTGGAAGAGGTGATCAAAGGTAAAGCTCCAATCTTGATGGAACCAGTGATTGAAAAAACTCGGTCATCATTGCCATGCCTTCCTTGGCCGGCTCCTCCGCTGGGCTGGGTAGCTCTTTCTGTTGATGGTTCTTATTGTGCGGAAGACGGAGCTGCAGGATGAGGTATGGTTTTATGTGATGACAAGGGTGGTGCTATTTTTGCGGCCTACCGACGCATTATCACTGTAATGAGGCGCTGGAAGCAGAGTTACATGTGATTATGGAAGGAGTAAGTCTCGCAATTTAACGGTCGAATCGACCAGTTCAGTTACAATCTGATTGTTTGGCAGCTTTGTCAGCACTATCTAATGATTCACTGGACAGATCAGCATATGGTCATCTCTTGGCAGAAATCAAAGGTTTACTGGAGAATAGGGTGTTTGTTCGTGTTAAAGTTTCTCGTGATCAAAACAAAGTTGCACATTGCTTAGCAAATTATGGTAGATCTGGGGATAGCACTACGTGCTGGCTTAACCAACCCCCTCCTTTTATTTCTGAACTTGTTGCTAAGGATTGTAATTCTGTGAGTTTGAAATAAAACGCCCTATTTCCATCGCCAAAAAAAAAAAAGCAACAGGGCTAGATGGGGTGCCGAGGCGGCCGCAGCTCATCGCCGGACTCGACTCGAACACGAAGCGGATGGATCGGTTGGTTTCTCGTCCGCTGACAAAGCCTCAACTTCATGGGCCGTGCTTGATGCCCGCGACTCCACGTTAGAAAGAGCAGCTCTTTCGGCTCATGGCTTGTTGTTGGTGTGCATAAATGGGCCGCATGGGTTGTCGCTGCTTGCTGGGCTACCTTGCAACGGGTAAATTTCTCAGCTTCTGCACTCCTACGCATTTAACCTAGTTATTGTTTCCCCTAAAAAAAACCTAGTTATTGTTTCTCAAAACCCCTAAAAAAATATTGTTTCTAAAAAAATAACCTAGTTATTTTTATTGTCTCAGAAAAATCAACCTATTTTAAAAAACAAATTAACCTGATTCACACCATAATTTTAACTACAGGATCTGGGTCATTCATGTTTGTTTTCTATTTTTTTTAAAAAGGAGGATGCACCCCCGGCCTCTGCATCTGGACAATGCATACGACCACTTTATTAATTATTAAGCACAAAAGACCTTACAAAGTAGTATATCAGTAAGCCTGAAGCCACCATCTAGGCAACATCTGTCGCTACTCCTACCCCCTTGATGCAGTGGTGCCGAATGTCCGAGCCTAATACCAAACAAACATCGCATCAAATCCTAACAACTAATGCCGCATGCCCCATCCTAGCCACATACCGGGACTCGGTCACACGCCGGTCCGGCGCACTCACCGAGGCTGCCGCCGCCTTCTTCCATCGATCCATCTCCAGAGCAGGTACTGACGCACAGACCTTGCCAGGCCTGCCGTCGACGCCACCATGGCGCCAGACAGCTCGACCAACCTGCGCTCGTCCATCCAGCCGCATCCGTCGTCGATATGCAGCTGCACCATGCCGCCACCACTCGTCGTCAATGACGCGGTAGATACAACGCCGCACCACCTGGCAACCTCCACACCATCGCCACTGCTGGAGCTACTCGGAGCCCACCATCCACAACATCTCTCCCCCGAACAGCAGTTCCTCCCAAGACAGCGCCTCCATGGAGGATACGACGCGCTGGACGCCGCCGCCGCCCAATCCAGACTGAATTTTGGACTTCGTCCGGGAGGGGTTCGGGGGTGGATAGGGGGGACCTCGGCTTCGCCTCCAGGAAGGGTAATGGCGTCAAGTGACGTCGTCGATGCCGGGCCGAACACGCCGACCAAAGTTTCCTCCGGTCCCCATCCTATGCCACCAAACCTCCGTGTACTCCGGATCTGGCAAGCCACGATCCGAAACCCGCGAACATGAAAGAGCCATGGGGCTCAGCCCACCAGAAAGGAGGATCGAGAAGAACTCCTTGTAGATCTCCAGACGCCGAATCCAACGATCCGACATGGCCAGCGACGATCATCACCACCCCGCGGCGGCCGACAGAGTCCGAAGAAAGGATCCAGATGGATCCGATCTGGATCCGGCGGCACCCGCGACCACCGGTCAGGCCAACACAACCACCACCTCACGACACGCAGGTCGCCACCGCCGCGCCGCGCACGACGCCAATGGGAGACCCACCCATCGTGCCGCCGGACTCCACGTTCGCCCGGCGTTCCTCTGAATCCTGTTGTCCCACGCCAGCCAAGACGGAGAGGATGGGGAGAAGCCCCGCCGCCGCCCGGCCGGCCAGGCTTCGCCCGGTGGC